GTTTTATTGTGGTTGTCTTTCATCTGAGAGGCTATTTGAAGTTTGTGTTATTTGAAGTTTTTTAACTATTAATTATGCAAAAACATTTTTAATACTGTATTTGTATGGTTTTAGTAATCCTAAATAGGTAGTGGGAATTAAAATGAGCACATAGCAAAAATCAAACTGGTGAGGCCACCAGATTTCGGGGGTGGGCATAGCCCCTCCCAGCCACCCTGACTTGTTGCGCCCCTGGTGATTGACAGGTGCTGGTCCACAGAGGATGAGCTGCAGCCTCAGCACCACACTTCTCTCTGATGGACTGAGAGACAATCAGGGATTTACTGTAGCCTGTGTGTGTTTGTAGCAGGGACGGTTTGTGTCTGCTGTTCACAAACTCTAGTGTTTACAAGTTCACCCGGTTGGGACCCCCCCCCCCCCCCCCAGAATAATTTTGTGAACGAAACAGATGCCATTTCCTGCATTCTGGTGTATTTTAACAGGTTGTTAAACATACTTTTCCCTACATAAATAAACACTTGATTTAATCATTAACTCAGAGACAGATTATTCATTAAACTAGTTCCATCATCATGTTTTAAACTCACTGCTACAGCTGAGTTCAGGTTAACTAATGTGACACAATTTATCATATGCATGACTTTAGGGGTGCTTTTTAATTTAATTTAGTTCATTCTTTATTTAATTGTAACACATGTCATTATGCAAAATAATAATAACCTTTAACTGCATGTTTTAAACTAATAATAATAACTTTACCAAAAAAACAGGTGCAATATTTATAACCACCAACAATGAATTTAGAGAGGCATTTCACTTTTTATGGTTTAGTGATAGGTCTACTCAGAACCAAAAGGGAAGTAATAATCTGTAGTGTTTTGAAGTTCACTCTGCAGGTGTACGACTGAGCTCTGAGCAGATTATCTGGAGACATCTGGAGATATCTGGAGTTATCGTGGTTCCACAAAACAAATGCAGATTGCTGTGACAAACACATTTTTATTCCCTTACTTATTTAGGTTTTTTTCTCACTATCATTATATGAAATTATTTTCCTGAATCTAGAAATCATTTCTGATCGCGCAGGGTGTACGCACGGTTTGATACATCTGGATTCTTTTGTGCGTACACCGTTTTCTGGATTTGACCTTACACCACATTTCAGGAAGAAATCCACGAGTCTTTGTACATGAGGCCCCTGGTTTTCCTTCGTCTTTTTAAAAAATGTTAAACACACTTTGTTTTCAATATACACTGTCATGCTTGAAGACATTTCTAAAACCAGAAAGCTCTTCTCTAAAATCATTAATGTTAAACATTATAAAATAAAATCATTTGACAGCTCTAAAACAGACGAGGAGTTAAGAGTCTGTCATGTTCGTCACCATTGGGCCCTCTGACCACCACCAACAGGAAAGGCAGGAAAATGTCTTAAAGATAAGATAAGATAAGATATGATTAGATGAGATAAGTTAAGATAATATAAGATTAGATGAGATGAGATGAAGATGAGATAAGTTAAGATGAGATGAGATGAGACAACATAAGTTAAGATGAGATAAGATAAGATGAGATAAGTTAATATAATTTAAGATACAATGAGATGAGATGAAGATGAGATAAGATAAGTTAAGACAGGCGTGCCCAGCCCGTCGCTCGCGGGCGACTCGGTGCCCGCCAGCTGATTCCCAGGTGCCTGCGAAGCGCAACCTTGCGAGCCATCTTGTCAGCTGTTAGCAAGGTGACGTGTCTGCTCACTAAGCTTCATTTTAACTCCGGCAGAAGCAGTGGAGGTGGGGGGAGTTTAAGTAACACATTCCAACGCGCAGCAACGTGCTCCCTACGCCCTCCCCCTCTTGCATTTTCACAAATGTTGTCTCGCGAGTTTGCAGAGAAAACATGGATGGAAAACTAGCAAACAAGCAAACGAAAACTTATTTTCACACAGAGTGGGAGGAGGAGTATTTTTGTGTTTATTCTAATTCGAAGCCTCTTTGCCTCATCTGTAATTCGAGCGTTGCCTTACCCAAAAAGTGTAACTTAGAGCGACATTTCAAGACGATGCACAAACGGTATGAGATGGATTTCTCTAGTTTGTGGGAGTGTTTTAGTTTCTGCTGATAGCAGACGCTGCATTTGCTTCAACCATTCACTTAAAAAAAAAAGGAAGAAAAAAAGAGATTGCTTCCAGAGCCGACTGCTGTACCAGGAAGCATCGATTTTTAAAGATAGTCAAACGGCCAAAAACTCATGAATGGGGATAAAAACAGACATTTTTCACGGTGGAATCTGACTGATAAAAACTTTGGAGCTTAAACCGGGACCAGTTTGAGGATAAACAACGTCGAGTGAGCCGCGGAGCTTTTTTTTTCTTCCCCGCATTGGACTCCCCCAGGAAGGAATCCCATGCAGTGACGTATGCAGCGGGAGGGGTTTCCCCAGGAGCTCGAGGTGTTTCAGGAACTGCCTGCTGTTCATTTCGGACTCAGAAAGTGCGGGAGCTAAAAAGGAAGCTAGCAGCCCAGCAATCGGTTTTCACTTGGGCCAGCACAAAAGATAAGGCTGCTACAATAGCCTCATACTGTGTTAGCCGCATTCTGTCTCAACATAAGGTCTTTCAGCGATGGAGAAGTCATGAAAGAAGCGTTTATTGGGGCTGCAGATGCGCTTTTTCGTGATTTTAAAAATAAAAGTGAGATCGTATCGTTCAGTTGTCCACCAGGATGGATGGTTGTGTCCAAATTCGTGTCCATGTTTCAGTCTGGACAGCTCTGGTGTTGAAAATGAGGTTTTGACTCTGCAAAATGACATTGGGATCAAATCCAGAGAATCAAGTCACATGGATGGAGAGTTCTGGAGTCTGCTTTCTTTCACATGAAAATCATCAAGTCCAACAACAGATCCACAAAGACTGGTGATCATCTGGAGACCTGCTTACACCTGAACCACCTCATACTGCCCACCTATGAGACCCTGGCCTCCTCTCACTCTCAGAAGTCCCACTAAGGTAGACATACATTTTTTACATTATTTATTTATTAATTTATTTTTGTACAGCTTCTTGCATAAAAAGTTGTCTCCTCTAGACTTGTCACAATGTGTCTGTATGTTGTTTTTATCACATTTTAGACCAGACTAGTGTCTTATACACTGACTGGCACCTTTGTGTTATTTATTTACTTTGCAGTTTGGGTGTGCCCTTCATTTTCTGTACCTAATGTGGCTGTGTGTGTGTGTGTGTGTGTGTGTGTG